TTCCAGGAGCGGTTCAGTTCAGTTCAAACTGAATAATTAAAAGAGACTATTAGTTTTAGTTTATTTAAAGCTTGCATTTGGTAGTGCTTAAATCAACCCGAGTGAAATTCGCTTTTACAAAGTATACTTCTGAATAGTTAGGATTTTTGTAACAGTAATTATATGGGGAAGAAAATGATGTTTAATTCAAATATTCAGGTCTTTTATACAGAAGAATATTTTAGAAATACAAAAAGAGATTATCAAATTAAATAAATTAAACCAAAAAGGAGATTAGGTGAATAGGAAAATTGAGGTCGCGGAAATATGACAGTAACCTGTGTATCAGTGATCTTTATTTGATAAAAGTCGGGAACATGTTTTTCAGATTCGAAAAGTGGTTAATTCTAATAATTTCTCCATCGAAAGAACGCATCAGAATCAAGAATCAAAATTAACACTTGTTGTTTTTTTTTCTTTTTCTTATTTTTATACAGTTCTAAAGCAACAGTAATGTGAAGGATATTTAGTAATTTAATTTTATTTTAGTAACTGGAAGAGTATTTTTGTGACAGTTCCTCTTGTGTTTATCATTCTCATCATTTTTCTTGGAAACCTTCTTGTTATTCTTGCCATCTCCAGGTAATACAAGTTAAACTATTGCAAATATTTTGGACTAGTTGCAAAAAATTGCATTTTGCAAACATTCCGCATGTTTCAGAAGTTTTACAATTTTTATTTCATTTTTCCAAGAAGTACTTGATAAGATTTTTGCTCATATTCAATTTAATTAAAATTTAAAAATACATAGAATAAGCAACTGCAATAGTAAAATAGTATAACATCTTTAAAACAATTTATTTTAAACTCTTTAATGCAATTTCATGGCGAAGAAAAGGAACAAATTTTAATTTAATAATCCCTGTATCATGCACATTGCACATTATGTCTTAAATTTTTCTAAATTTTTCTTTTCTTTATTGAACAAACCATCTGTTTTTACATTTTTTTTTATCGAAGTGGACATTTAGAATATATTCAATTTTTTATTTTTGAATATCTTTACAAAAATTCCGATCCCATGTTAAGAATTCGGGGAAAAAATATCTAAAATCTGTAAATTCAGTCATCTTCTGGATTTAAATTGACAGCAATATATCTACACTAAGGGAAGCTAAGGATCAATGTTTCAATGTTTTTAAACCAAAAATGTCAAAATTCTTTTCAAAAAATAAGTTTTTATTTATTTCAGAGAACACAGTCTGAAACCTGTGCAACACTGGTTTATAGGTTAGTGTAGAATATTAATAAGCTTGAACCGTAAAGACATAATAAATGTAAGGGGGGGGGGGAGAGGTAATGAATTTCTGTCGATTTCCATAGTATCAGGACTGCTGGGGATTTGTTTTCAAGTAAAAAAGCAACAGTGATTCGAATTCGATGTACATTGATTAAATTATTATTTAAATAATTTATTGTTTGATTGGATAATTAAATGATTGAATAACTGATCGATTAATGGTTGGATTGATTAGTTGGTTAATTGATTATCTTGATTAATTTAGTGGTTCTTTAGTATAAATTGATTAGTTTATAAGGAATTTCATTGATTCATTGCTTAGCTGATTTACTGATTGGTTTATTAAAAGATTGAATGATTAATTGATTGAGAATGCAAGAGATTATTTCATTGCTTGATTATTTGATTGTGTAGCCTCGCTAGCAGTTACTGATATGCTCATAGGGGTGGTAGTTGTCCCATTTTCCTTATATCAGGTAGATAAATTAACAAATTAACAGATTAACAAATTAACAAATTAACAAATGAACAAATTAACAGATTAACAAATTAACAAATTAACAAATTAACAAATTAACAAATTAACAGATTAACAAATTAACAAATTGAAAAATTAACAAATTAACAAATTAACAAATTAACAAATTAACAAATTAACAAATTAACAAATTATCAAATTAACAAATTAACAAATTAACAAATTAACAAATTAACAAATTAAAAAATCAACAAATTAGCAAATTAACAAATTAACAAATTAATAAATTAACAAATTAACAAATTAACAAATTAACAAATTAACAAATTAACAAATTAACAAATTAAAAAATTAACAAATTAACAAATTAACAAATTAACAAATTAACAAATTAACAAATTAACAAATTAACAAATTAACAAATTGTGGAAGACGACGCCTGGCCGCGTTAAACAAGTTCCACAAGATTCAACAGAATGAGATAGAACGGATACGGGGCATAGTTCTCATACATTATCATCTACATGTGTGATATCGATATTGACTCATGTTCTCTATATTGGTGACCCCCGACTTTGAACATACAGTTAAACGCTATCCAGTTTCGTGATTTTCTTAAAACTTTGAACTTTAAGTGATACATCCAAGCATCATGACCGACCAGAAAGAAACTCCAACCGAGTT